TCGTGCACACGCAGTCTGAGTGACCTTGTCACCTCACGCCACGGCATGAAAGATGCAGCCTGCTGCTGGATGAATCCTGCGTAACCCCCGCTCACAGACGGGACACGTCTGGCAGTACAGCCACCTGCAGTGGGATAGGTCAGCGGAGGCTCCTGATCAGAGCCGCTTCCTCTTCTTTTGCCTTTCTTGGCTTTTAGTTGAGGAAAAAAAAAAAAAAAAAAAAGTCAGGCTTAATTCAGAGCGAGCGCACGGTCAGGAGTCAGCGTACGCTGATGCGAGGTGACGTTAAGTGAGAAGCTGGAGGTTTGAAGGTGGAAAGAAGCGGTGGGAAACACGCAGGCAGCAGAGCCTCAAGTGAACTTGGACGGCGTTTCAGATGGACACGTCATTTTTTGGGGGGTTTACTCAATTTGGAGCGAGAATAATTCATTTGCTTACCAAAAAACAAAAAATAAAAAATTTAAAAAAGCAGTAAGGTAAAAAATAACCCAATTATGGGTCAAAAGAGACATACTTTTTAATGTTATGCATATTCACATATTCATTTTTGCGTGTGTACAAAAAAGTCCAACTATTTGGTCAAAGCCATCCCCCAAAAATCTGCTTTTTTTTTCATGACCAAGCGGTAGTGGGCACTTTTTTGACCCATAAAATGGTTATTAGTTTTCATTTTAATTTTTTAACTGAACTCTATTTTTAGAGTGAACAGCCTTAAAACTGTTGGGTCCAAAAAAAAAAAAAAAAAAAAACAACAAAAAAAAACAATGGGGCCAAAAATTGGACCAACCCGCAACTTGGGTCAGTTTGACTCTACTTTGGGTTGTTTTATACTAAACACCACATTCATTAAAAAAAATAAAAAAATAAATAATACATTTATGAAGACACATATGTAGTGGTAAAGCTGTACTTGATATTTGATACATTGTATGAAAAAATATGTACGTAGCCCCGTGCCCCCCAAAAAAGAATGGTCCAAAAATTTCAGTCAAAGCAACCCCCCAAAATTGGGTTTGTTTTGTTGAATCAAAATGTGGTTTATTTTTTTTTTTTTTTACTCAACTGTTTTTAAAATGAGCAGCCATAAAACAGCTGGGTCAAAGGGAAACAAAAATTGAGCCGACCCAACTTTTGGTTGTTGTACCAAAAAAATATATGTATATTCCTATTCATTACAAAATGAACACACAAAAAAGTCCACAATTTGAGTCAAAGCAACCCCGCCAAAATTGTTTTTGGTTTTTTTTTTGTGTTGGTTTATAATTTGACCAAAGTGGCAGTCAGTCCTTTTGGGGTCCCGTGAAAAAGTGGTATTTTGACGAAACCGTTTTTTAGACTTAGAAACAGCGAAGGTGGTTTTCATCACCTCATCAACTCCATTAGAGGGACAAAATTTGTCATCATTAGTTTCACATGAGTCAAGCTTTTTATCGCTTTGGCAAGAGCACAAAACCAACGGGGCAAGCGAATCAGCATTCTCATCCTTCAAATTGTATTAGTTATATCATGATATGTTGAAAATAACTTATTTGGAAGATGCTCCAATCCGTCCACTCAAAGGGACCAAATAAATCACAAATGTGTCCTTGCAACTCACAATTTGAAATCTGCTTGCAATGACAGCCTCCCTTTTTTATTTTCTTTTATAGACTAACCTGAATCTTGCAAAATAAACAAATATAGAAGAAATTAACTGAAGGTAAAACTTGCTCAACCCCCCCAAAAAAAATGGTCTCATGCTCATGGAGCATGTCAGCCCCTATAAATAGCATTCCAGCGAGTGCAAGGAAAACCCGAGGTAAGAGTGCCCTCTATGTGCAGCCTGAAGCCCCGTGCTGGAAAACGTCCTGTAAAACAAACCAACACGCAGAGGTCAGCGGCCTGAAAAGTTGCAAGAGTGACTTTGCGGCAAAAGCCTCCAGGAAGGCACCCAGATCAAAAGCCGGAGAGCCGATCCGCGCCGTCTAACTCGATCCGGGTTCAAATGTTTTTTACAAGACATTTTTTTTCTCCCCCCCTCCCCCACACCCTCACCCCTCCGCTAATCATTCCTCTCCGATTTCGGATGACGTTACAAACGGCAGTCCCGCCCGCGCGGCGC